TGGGCGGCCCTTCAGCGGCCGGGCTCGCCGTCGTGGGTTTTTTTCCTATCCTTCTCTTTCCTGCTTGAACCCGGAGCCTTCGCTGCGCGGCGTCCTGGCCGCGGGGAGCGCTTGCGGTGCTGGCAGAAGGCAGGCTGAGTGTGGAGGGGGGCAGCGGGCCCCCTCCCCTACAGGGTGCGGGGCGGAGGAGGCGCCCGGGGGTGGGCGACCGAGGGAGGCCCCGCTGGATGGAGGTCCTCATCGAGAACTTACTGCCTGCCTTCTGCCGGCGCTGATTGAGTGTAACGAGGGACTTGACGCTAATACGCGCTACGACAAAAAATAATAGCTGCAGTCCTTTAATTTTAGCTAGCTCAACCAAGGCAAAGCAATTTGTGTTTTTGGGGATTTCCCAAATATCACCTGTGACCTCCTAATACACCATATCTGGGCTGGGGCTCAGGTCTGCTTTAATAAAGTTACAGGCTGATGATGACTTCCAGTGTGTTCAGCTCTTGTCCTTTCCTTATTCCTTATGGGAGGTATCAAAATGTCAAATTGTCAAGTATGCTACTGAATTATATAATTCATAGTTAAGAACCTGATTCCAGTTCTGAAAACGGACACAACCGTGGGGTTGATTGCCTTTACTGGGATAACTGGGCTTAAAGTTAGTGAACGTTGGGCAGTTTTTCCTCTTGCTCTTCTGTCATTGCACCCTCGCGTAGGCCTCGCGTGCTTCTGCTCTTTTAGTGCCGTTGCTTGTCATCAGGAAAAAGTTGAAAATTAGCCTGTGCCCATAGGACTCTCTGCAACTTTGGAAACCTTGCAAACTCCCTACCGTGTTTCCTTTGCCCTTCTGTGTTCTTACGCTACGGATAGTGTTTCAGGCTGTCCTTCCTAAGATGGGGTTGAGTTAAAGTCACTCATGTAGATTTTTATGGTCTGTTGTGAAACATTTATTAAGAGAAACTATCTTCGAGTAGTAAGTCCACGAGAACATGTCTTCTTTCTAGAAGATTATAAAAAAGTAATAAAAACATTGCATATGGGATCAGAGCAATGGAGATGAATTTTGATGGCATAGTAAATTTTAATTTACTTAGCATTGTACAGGTAAATGTTTACATGTTAAGATTATATATGAAGTATGGTTTTGGGGAAGCACTGGTTCCGGGAAAAGTGTATGATTAATGGCTTTGCTTTTTGAGAAAAGTGGAATTGCCATAAGTATTGTACAATAGTCAATTTTATTCCAGAATAACATCCATAGAGTGAGAAGTTAGTGATACAGCAGTAGCTGAATAATTACACCAGTCAGCTTCCACATGGAGACAAAACCATCACGTGCAGCTAATAGTCAATTCTTCTATTAAAATTTCTAATTTATAAAAAGGCTGCTAACACTGAAAGTTTTATAAGGAAATAAACATCAAAAGTTAAAATGAGAAATTTTCACAGTTACGTGGGGGTAAGTAAATAAATAATATTGCAGAAAAGGCATGAATCCACCTGTACCTGGTTTTGTGTATGCCTTTGTTATCTAAACTGGCTGGTCCTTTTTGTTTGCTTTTCTTTTCATCTCTGATTTTTTTCATCTATGTAAACTGAAGTCAGTTGCTGAGTCTCTGGCCTTATGTTTATTATGAATATTATGAACAAAAAAAAAAGTAGGCTGTCTCCCCTTCACTAGAGGGCTGCTGCCTAACGTATTGTGGTATTGTTAGTCGTTGGTTGAGGGTCACGGGGAAAAGGAAGAACTTACTGTGTGTTGAGATGGTGTTAAATACTGCGCTAAAACAGAAAGAGTTTGAACTCTGGACTCCTTCTGTCAGATTTCTGCACCCTTTGTCTGTTGTAATAACGTGTTGTGGTGTGAACATGGCCTTTCACAAGAAGAATGGCATGCCAGTGTGGGATAAACCAGAATGCTTGTTGTGGTATTGGTAGCAACGAATGCCTTGAAATGGATTGGGATGTTTTGTTTTGTCGCTTGTCTTGCTGGAATTAGCTCTTGGGTCATATTGGAAAACTCCTTGACCTTGAACAGCCTCAGTAAAAATGTCTCAATGTTAGCCATAAAAGGATGAAGAACCATTCTGTACCTGATGACAAAGAGAATTATGGTATGGTAACGTACACCCATGTGCATAAGCATACATACGTCAGCTTTAATGTGATCGTCGTGAAGATGAACAGTACTTGCACCTTTATGTAGAATGTGCACCATCTCTGAGGGATATTAATAGGTCAAGTGGTGACCTGCCCAGTATAGAATGGGGAGCCTGTCAGTTGGGGTTGCGCTCCAAAATGACCCAACTCGATCTTTCATCTGACTCTATGCAACGTGACCTGCACCTCACATGTTGTTTTGAAAACACTTGCAGTTGAATCAGATGTGAGGACTAGATGCAACTTTTTCTTGTCTTTTTTTATTATTATTATTTAATATAACATCTTTGAATATCGCTGCTGTTTCAGAGCAAATAAAAAAAATATTGTGGTCTAGTTAGCCACTTCAGTAGACTATTTGCCGCTGCCTTGTAGTCAGGAACGTTAGTTTCTGCAGTACAGTCGATACTGTGAAAATGTAATAGAGAACATCTGTGGCAGGTTCCTGTTCTATTATGCAAACTCACTTTCTTTAAAGTCAGAAAGACTAGTTGGTTATATTTACTACAGAAAAACAAACTCTCTGAATATTTTGCTTGGAATGCTGCTTCTTTAGTGGAAGTTAGAAAGTGCCATATTCCAGGGTTGTCCTATTGTAGTGCATTTAGTTACATGATCACATGATAGTTTTTTGTGGGACTCTTGCTGTACTAGTTGTTTTGCCAACCAGGTATCTAATCAATGTATTTTCTAATCCTTGGGGTTAAATGCACGTTATTACATGTACTAACTTAGAGATGTTAAATTCTACTTACGCTTTTTTGTCTGGACCTACACTTAATTTTCTTTGTGAAATCCTTCTGCGTGTTTGAGTTTGCATTTCTGAAGTGTCACGAATATTCAAAAGAAATGTTGTTCTTCATCCACTGATAGGGAAATGGGGCACAGAAGTAAATGCTCGAGTTGTTGGAATGGTCCCTTCATCTTGGATTCTCAGGTTAAGATGTCTGTCCTGATTTTTTTTTTATTCCCCCTAATAAACACCTTCTGCACTCTGAGTGGTGCATTTGTTGTTGTTACGTCTCCAAATTTGTCATCTTGCTTTGTGGTGTGAAACTGAGGAACTTGCAATAGTAACTGGTTCTCTAAAATTTTGTTGGAGCAACTTGTATGTGATCAAACACCAATTAACTAATGAAGCTGAGAGTCCTGCAGATGACAGCTGTTTGCTGTGGCTCTGAATGATCCCGCTGTCGCTGTTAGGTCTGTGGAATGAGGTGTATATCTTGTGCAAGAGTAGCAGGTGAGTTTGTGTTCATAATGCAGCAGTATGAAGCACACTCAAGTGCTGTCCAGCTCCACTTTATGTCCCTTTCCATGTTCTGATACTTCAACTGTGTATCAGTCCATGTCATTTCAACATACCAGC